GAAAGCTAGGGAACTTTGCCAATGTCCTTAAATTATCCTTTTCGAAGTCCTCAGTCATTCTCCGTGGTAACCATGAAGGAAATAATACAACGGTCTCATGTAGTCATGACAGAATTTTTGAAGTTCGATTTTCATAAATGCTTTACATTGCCTCCACGTGCCGCAGTGGATTCGAATTGCTAAAATTAGACTATCTGCACATAATCTAAATGTTGAAACTGGTAAATATGTTAATGAAATTAGAAAAAACAGATTTTGTAAAATGTGCTCTTTGAATGTTATCGAAGACGAATTTCATTTTATTTTACAATGTCCTTTTTATCATGACCTTAGATCTAAATATTTGAAAAAGTATTATCATAAAAAATTCAGTGTTTGGAAATTAATTCAACTTCTAAGTGTACAAAATATAAAGGAACTTTGTTACCTTGGAAAATATTTATATCAAGTTTCCACTAGAAGAATGAAACATTTGTAATTTTTTTAGTGTTTCATAATTACAGTTGCCTGTTAAAAAACACGTCCTACATAGTTTACTTGCTATTTATTGATTATGCTCACTCTCATATTGTTGTATTTTATAATATTGTATATAAGTTTATTTATTACTATATGTAATCTGATGTGTCGTATGACTTAAAGAAATAAAGAACTTGAACCCACGACGTAAGGATCTATTCCTTACATCGCGACTCTAGAGCTAACGCTCTAACCACTGCGCCACGCAGGCGACAAATCATTTTTAAATTACTACATACAAAATTCATTAAACTAGGTCGTTCAGAAATTTAAAATCGACCCAATAAATAGCTTTGGTGATTTTTCTAATAATTTGAAAATTCATTCTGTATTTAAGTATAAAGTAACATTGCCACCATTTCCCGCTTTCATCCCTCAAAACATAAATTTTCAAAACCATTAAAGCTTACAAAATATACAGGGGCCAAAGGCGCTGTCCAGGATTATACTTGTAATGTGATTTTCATAATAACATAATACGTGTATCTCTGTTAGGTGAAAATGAGTTGTGCCTACGAAGGTAGCAAAATTACATGTGCAAAAGTTAAGCCGCATTTTATTTCAAAGTCATAAGAAATTTCAATTTTGTGATGTCTTGTCTCCGACGAAGAACTCCATTTGATCAAAACTTATTTGTTCTGATGTTTTCTGGTGTTTTTTCATCATTTCAACATTTAAAAAATTAGAAGAACCCAAAGTGTTAAGGCCTTTCAAAAAATTATTATTTTACTTTATAAAAAGTGTAATATATTGATATGCTGCGATAGATGAGTGTGATAGTTTCGTCGGATTTTTTTCCTTTCTTTTAACAACTTTTAAATGGCTTAGACTACCTGTCCGGATTTCTATTGCATAACATGACTTCTACAAGTCAGGGATGTAACATCTCTAGCTTTTCCCTGAATTCATGTTCCTACCTAATCAGAGAAGTGCGTTCGAGCGTTTGACACATTATTTCCATGCTTGTGATGATATTCCACAGAAATCCACTGTAACTGTGCGAACTCCAAATTGACTAAGGTTATGTGAGCATTCAATGCCTTAGCAAGGCAAAGTTTCAGTACTTTTTTCGGGAGATGGAAACCAGAATGGAATGATGTCGTCTATTCCCTCAATTTGCATTTGGCATGTAAATGATTCTATTTAAACAAAACAACGGAAAACGCACAAGAGGACCGTAGAGTACGTTTTGGATATTGTTTTGACTGAATAGCCCTTGTTGAAAGTTGCGTAAGAGAGCTGAGACTTTTAAGTCGAAACACTTGATTTTTCAACTGGCATTTATCAAACCAAATATTTCAACTAAACAATATTTAGGGGGGGGGGGGGGGGTTCCATGATTTTCAAAATTACTTGAGAATTTAGGAAATGGTATCAGCAAATAATTTGTAAATAACATTGAGATCTGTATAAGTGAGATCCCAAAGTCCTTGCACAGATCGTTCCCATTGTTTAAGGTTACTTTGGTCAGTCTGAGTGCTTTAAGAAATAAATAATTGATTAAAAATCAATTAAACTTTGATACTGTTCGCATGATGATTTTTGTTCATAACATGGTCTCTAGCTATTGAAGAAATTTCTGCTGTTGTGTCATTCCCGCCATGTCACATTCCTTATAATCGGAAGCGTCCGAAGTCGTTATTTGTTTCTGTTTGGATCATTGCAAAATCCTGTTCGATTTCTGCTGTGTCGATTTCACCTGAATCCTCATATGTAACGTTATGACATTTGAATTCACTGGACACTTCTGTAATGATAGATCTAACACTGTCATCTTCTTTATCTAGGTTATTAACCATCAATCTTGGAAGCCAGTTGTGAAAGGATTCTAAATCTTTTGCAGAGGACGTCACTTCTATTGTTTCTTTCTTCTTACACCATTCTCTTCTGTCGACAGGAGATTAGATAGCAGAAAAAGAACTTTTAATTGTTGAGACTTCATGGACCTCATCTGGTCTTTTTCGTGTATATTTGTCTTTTCATGATCTCATTTTTGACTTAGGTAATCTTTTTTTTTTTTTTACCAGAGATGCATTGATAAATGCTTTGTACTGTTCCACAAGTCTTTTTGAGACTGGTATACAGTTATAGGTTTATAGATATAGTTTAGAGTCACGAGACGTAAGTTGTATCGACTGCCAATTAGCAACAAAACTCAATAAATTTATTCAATGTTTTGCACATTCTCCCAAAACGTGTTCCATTACACATCTCATTAAATCCAAGGATAATTGTAATTCTTTTAGATCATAGAGAACAAGACTTTTGTGAGTAGAGTTTCTTGTCTCATTTGTGATAACCCTTATAATTATTCCCGTTGCTCTTTGTCCGGGTACATCATAACCATTTTTAATAACTCTAACTGCATCGTCTAGAATGTGCAATATTTCTTCGACATTGGCTTCATGATAAATTTGTTTCTCCAAATTTCGTATTGCACGCAGATTGTATTCATTTTCTGTCTCCTCTGAAATAAATCTATCTGTCCTTGCTGTGCAAGACTTTATTTCGCAAAGAAAATCAATATTTTTGAATTTGATTTTCTTTTGATTTCTTACACTCGATTGCTATTTTGATCTGTTTAGTTATTTTTCTGTATCATAATCTTTCAAGCCTGATTCTAGATACAGTCCCAAAGTTCTGATAAAAATGTGACCAAGATTGTGCTGTCTTCGTAGTACGTGGTACAGTTACTGTTCTGTATTCAATGCGTACATCTTCGTATACATTGGCATGCGTATTAATCAGGTAGACTAAATGGACAAGAGTATGCTTTAGTGATTGAAAGGACATTTGATTTCTACAGCAGATATTACTTGATCACTCGTGGATGTCCGTAAGCTTCCATCTGGTGGCACGACGCAATTGTGTCTGCAGGAAGAACGTAACATCCTTCTTCAACAAACTCGCTTTAGAATAATGTGCAAGGAAAATAGGGAAGCAATGGCGTCAGCTTCATGCATGGTTCCATGACTTAGATGCATCTGTAATTCTTACGTAATTGGAGAATCTATTTATTTAATAAATTTTGTGAAATGGTTATATTTTTCTTTTCATCACCTCAAACTAATGGCCGAGTGCAAAGTGTTACCTTTTTGCACCAGAAAAAGTTAAGTTGAACTTTTTAATACCAAAAGTATTAAACAAAATGCAATACACATACCGAATTAGTTACAACTCCATACATGAATTAACTACAGTGTACTTAATCTTAAAAACTTATCTTGTTAGGCATATCAAACTTTTAGGTTACGGAATACATGCAGACTTAAAGAAACTAACATCTGTCGTTAACATTCCCCTATTACTTTTTAGTCAATTCCTTTGAAATCCGATTGATTGTTCGTGGGATTGGTACTGAGGCGTTTGATAACACCAGGAAGAGTACAGTGGATTCATATTTATCCTTGTATCGGTATTCATAAATTAATGCTTTCTTCTGTAAGCACATGTTTTATGGGGAAATACCTCCATAAACTGAGAAATTGGACAAAGAAACGTACCTCGAACCCATTTTTACCACTTCAAAAGCATACACCCCGTTCACAACAGAGTATACACCCCGCATGTTCGGATGTACCTGATGTGGTAGATGACTCAGTATTGCTTGTGCATCACCTTCATCTTACTGTAGAATTTAGAATTAATTTACACATAATTCTTTTAGGATAAAGTTACCAAGAATGATCCCTTTTAAGGTAGGATAATTATGTGTACCCCAACAATAATAAATATATTGATGTTGGCATGCTATGGTTGTATGTCTTCTGTCTGTCTAACTGATTGCTCTTACAAATCGTGTCCGGTATGTACTCTTTTACCTTTAACTGGAATTGATTCAAATTGTAGTGTGTTGCCTCCGACCTACGGCCTTTTTTTAAGGTTTTAACTCAATTAGCACTGTCAAGGTCACTTGGCAAATAGTTAGTAAAGTAATGTCTCAATTAATTTTTTAAAAAAATGATGAATCTCCTAACTAACAAAACTTCTTGACAAACATAAAACATCAAAGGTTTTTGAAGGGGCACAACTGTAAATTAGATAAGTTTTCTATTGCAAAGTATATATTGTCAAAATTATTAGGAGAGGGGGGAGGCACGTCCTCCGCCCTTTTCCTACGGGCCTGTGATAAAATGTACAGCTTAGCTTTTCTAATACTTTCTGTACGCTGATTCCTATCAATCGCACGAGACAGATTTATGACATCAGGTTATACACAACTGTACACAACTGTTATCTGTGTAGAAAATCAACATATAGATGTATAAAAATACCCGCTACAAATTCATCTATCAATATTATTGTTAAAAGAATGATGACCTTGAAATAATTACTTTACATAAGACATGACTTTAAAATTTGGACATAAAAATGGAATTTGAAAAATTACTTAATTATTTAACATTTTTTCTCAGATTTTCTGGCAGTGCTTGGTTAATCTTAGCCCAGGGAGGAGGGTCGTGGTCATTACAAATGACTGTTGATTTATCCACACGTACTGATACAGGAAAAATTAACCAATCTCCCGTTTCAGCAATGGCTTCATCAGTGAAGGTTTTAAATTCATGCACCTCACAACCAATCATGATACCAGGTATTTGATTTTTTTTTTTTGCATATTAATTTCAAAATAAATATTTACAATTAAAGGCAAACTAACATTTTAATATAAAAACATACAAGATCAATTAGTATACCATCCATACACGGTGTAGTACCTAAACGGTTGCTATCAGAAAAAATGCGCGTACATTAATGCTATCTGAAAATTGTACGGTTGCTAATGGAAAAAAATGGACGAAATGGTAAGTATTTTTCTTCGCTGGCTCAATAAAATGGTCAATAATTCAATTATCAAAGCTTAGCTGCTTATTTTTTCACCCTTACGGAACGTAACATACCTTTTAAAACTAATATGTATCTCTAATTTTTTTTTATGAAAAAAAAAGGATTGTTGATGTATAGAACGAAAGCTGTCGAAAGTCTCGGACACACTTACATGTACATGCACATAAGAAATATATTTAATTAGCGTCAAAATGTTTAGATATTTGATAAAAATGAATCGACAGATCGGTGTATTTTTGTAAAACGTATTAATTATGTCATATAATTACCCATTTTAATCGGTTTCTTAAAAACAAAAGCGTTTTCATGAGGAGAAACTTATGTTACGGCTAATATTTGACAACAACACCGGTTTCTATTGGAAATGTCTTAAGTTTTCAATTTTTCTTTAATACACGTCCTTAATTCACATCTATTATGCAATAGTTTAGAAAACTATATTTGAAATGTTCATTCTATATTCTTTTTAATAACTGACTTGTTTATATTACCTTGATTTCGATCCTATAATGATAAATTAGTTTATTTCTATTTCTATATGTATGATATGACTAATAATAATAGTAGTGTTTGTAAATACCCTGTACATTTACTAAGTATCCTGCACACAATAAAATTGTTAGTCTTTAAATTATGTGCACCTTCTATTGAATTTATTAGATTTCACCTGGGTAATTACGCTAGATTCACAAATAAAGGATATCTCTTTTTTTTTGGGGGGGGGGGGGGTGGATATAAATTTTTATCCAATGAGTTGTGGTAATATAGTTTCTTTAGAATGGACTTGTTACAAACACTTTTCAAAAATTGAAAGCCAGATCAGCAGCATCGGATCCTATGTATAAGCAAGGAAACCCTAGATACACCGTTCTTACAAGTTTCGTCCAAGTGAGCGGCTCTCTCGAGTAAAAGACCTCATTATAGATGCTACTATATTATACATCCAGTTCAAAAACTACTTTTTTTAAATTCAATTTTTGATGTACATGTACGAGTACAGTATGGCCAAACACTCCTACTATAAATATGTACATGTATTGAAAATATGAAAGTGGAATTGCACACAATTCCCCCCCCCCTTCTATTTCGAAAAAGACTACATATGTCTGTAAATAATTGTAATTCTCTCTCCTTTAAATGTACATAATTATATATTACTTACTGGATAGAATATTATCCGTTTTCATGTTCGGATCTCCACCTTTTTTTAAAGGGGGTCCAAGCCCACTCAAAAGAGACAGAGAGAGAAATAGAAGTAAATATAAGAAAATTGATAAGCAAACAAGTAGAAGTCTTCTCCATCTGAAAAACCTCCTTCTTTCGGGGGGGGGGGGAGAGGGGGGTTTGATTGTCTCTTCTATCTGTATAAATTTAATAATCCAGAAAATCATCCAAAAGGGGGAATCGGACATCCTCTCCATTCAAGATCCGAGGTTTGAATAATGCGTGTTAATTGTATTTTCTGATGCTACAGCGTACCAAAGCACTACCGTCAAAGGTTATACTGTAAATTCACTAGATATTATTTAACCCTTTAACCCCCAAAGACGCATTTGGACGCATTTTCAGCATCACAGACATTTAACTGTTGGCGTTTTCTAAATATTCAGGTTACAACAAAACAATTGATATTTTCTGAAACTAGAGAAGAAACTCAATATTTTTTCTACTCAAAGTTTTTCTGTGCGATTTTGAGATATTATCATAAACTTGAATTGAATATTGCATATCAAAGCAGGAATTTGATAAAACTACGCATAAATGACTGATTTTGTGCTATCTTCTGTTGGCTTTATCTTAATTACAAACACAATAAAAGAAAAAATGAATGCCATAACCTGAAAGCTGGGAATTTTCCCTACATTATTTATTCCGGACATTATAAGGTACTTGCATCCGTTACAGAGATATATGTCGTTGAATATTGGAACTTTTACGAGTAAAACACAAAAAATGCACTATGACGTCATTTTACGTTTTACATACACAATGAAATCGTTCATGAGCTCAGTTAAAACAAACTGGTTCTTTTGATATATGAAACAGATTTATTTTTAAAAAAATGAATTATTTGTAAAGAAAAGTTAATGTACAACACGTTTTGAGCCATAAACATGTAATAAAAGGATTTTTCCCTAGCTTTGGGAGATATATACATGTATTAATAATTGACTGCATGCTTTGTTTTAATAGTATCACTAAATCCTCTGTTATGGAAACATTATATGATTTGTTTGTATTTCTGGGATGAAAAAGGCGAAAAACACATATTTTGGCAATTATGGGCCTCATTCGTTGCCATGGCAACCACGACGTCATTTTACTCTGCATAATTAAAGACTTTAAGATTTTATCTTTCAGAAAATGTATAGGTTGCTTTATGCAAAAGTGACTAGAAAATGTTAAAATTTCAATTTGAAATTTTTAGGCAGTTTTGCAGAAAAAATGCAAAATCTCTGGTAGTTAAAGGGTTAAGTCTAAGTGTACATATAGGCTACAAAAATTAAAAAAAAACTAGTTTTAGAAAGCTTTCCAAAGCTTTTAAAGTACTCAAGAAAAGTTCTTTCATTTAATTTAAACTTACGTTTCCTTCGTATAGCTTTCTTTTTGATTTTGTATACTAGTAGTGATGTTTTTCGAAGATCAGCTCTACTTGGCAGAACACAACAAATTCGAGTTAAGTTAATAAATCTCAATTGTACATGTAGACATTGTGTTCCATATGTTCTTTGGATGTTTTAATTATATTTTTTAGTCCTGTGCAGCCATAAGATTTTTAAATTTCTTTTCTTGATTGAAAAACAAGTCATATTTCAAATAGCAGCCGGTGCATTATTTTCAGTTTATAGCCGATGCCTACATACCAACATTTCTGAGAGCAACCGTAACTTAAGAAGATCGTGTATTGTCCAAAAATCTCTTTCAAAATACACTTTTTCATAAAAAAATTATCATATCTACGAATTATTATAGATTGACACATCTCTACATACCAAAATGAACTCAAACTAACTTATAAATGATGAAAAGAAGCATGGAAACTTGGAGTATATTGACTTGCGAATGGGTACATACTTCGGAAATTTTACTATATTTAAATTTTTAGAAGGTTGTTCTACAAAATACATCTGGCATCATTTTAAGAAATCCCTTACTTCTTCCGTGCACAAGGATTTTCCGGAGACTTAATTGATTTGGGGTCATTTTCTGACAATTTTACCTCTCGTTGCAGGTTCCTCCAACATATTTATTTCAGCTAGCAGCCGTAAAATTTACGAATAGAAACAATGAACGCTTTTTTGTTCTGATAGCAACCGTTTAGGCACTACACCGTGCCATCTTGAAGAGTTTTTCTGCCTTTTTTTTTGAATATTGTTTCTGTTTGCAAAAGAAGTTAAATTTAATTTAAAACAATTTTGAAGTTGCGGACTTTGACGGAGATGACGTACGTTGTCGATTTGCCAGTTCCTCGGCAGAATGCTCTGGTATTTGCACTGTACCTTCCTACTTTACATTATATGAAGTGAGTATAATTATGAATTCTTTGTGTGTAAGAGTGTCTTTAAAATAACACACTGTAGACAGAGCAAAATTCCCGTTTGTGGGAAATAAATGCATTCATACTTTTCTGAGATAGCTAAGTATATCCTAATCTTGTATCACACTAAATATGATGTATCACATCATAGTTAAAACGCAAGTATAAGAATAAGGCTTAATTATGCTATGATAAAGAAGAAAAATGAATGAATGTGAAAACTTTGTGTTTTCAGCGAATTTATCATTACTTCCAATATCATGAGTTTGAAGTTTATTTCAATTATTGAAATAACGTATGAGCATTTGTACCTGCAGTCACAATATTTACCACTTAGAGAGCCTTTGGAACAACATGAATGCCCACTGATTAATTGTTCAGTGGGTAAACCAATACAATATCGAAGTGGCATGCATTGTTAGCTTATCCACACATGCTTTGTTGTGTGTCATATCCTCAAATGTTTAAGTGACTATAACCCAAACGATTTATTTTGCTTTGACTATATCTCTATTAAAAATTTTTTTTGGGGGGGGGATGATTGATTGACTGATTATAGTTTTTCGTAAAAAGGGTACTTTGCCAAAGTTTTTCTTTTTTATGTCACATCCTCAAATGATTTAAGTTAAACCCTGGTAACATTTCCAAAAACAACGGTTTTGGAGGCAAAAAATATTATTCTTTGGGTGACAATCGGCATTTCATCGGCTCATGTCCGGTTTTGATCTCTTTTTTTGTCGGCCGACTAATTTTGTGTCCGTCGGGCCAAGTTATAATCTTTCCTGCGTCGGTGGCTGATTCCTTCAATTGAAGCAGTCGTTGAATAGTCTATCGACCAACCTTCCATCATCGTCCGACCATCGGCAGACAGTTTGTTAAGCCGGTCGTGGATCGGTCGACATTTATGAATTGGGTTTTCGTAAATGTCGACCGACTATGAAAATCAAACTGCGGCTCAGCGAACGATAATCGAATGACGGTTGGCCGACTTATAAATATTTTAACTCTTAAAGATATCGGTGTTCCTAAGAATTAATGTGACTACTCTGCGTCGTCTGATACTAGTGTTTTTAAGTCGACAAGAAAATTTTGGTCGCCCGACCATCGGCTTAAATGTGATCTAGGTACATGTATTACTTTCTGTTTGTTTTGTCCAATCAATTTATTTTCCTTTGACAGTACTTTAACCTCCTCGGATGTCAGAAGGCTTAAAATGCATAAAAACATACTATTTTATGTTTCGGTTACGTTTTTATCAGTTTGTAAACAATTTACATGTAAGTATTTCTTATTCGCGAAGAGAGTCTTATCAGGTACTATAATAACGCTTTTTTGTAGTGATGTCAATTTGTAACCGGTTTACCGATTAATCGGTCGGAACGCTGGTAATCTGTTAGAAAATCTTTAATCAATTAGTCGGAAAAAATAAAATATTTGTAAATTGGAACGCCAATTTTCTGAAAAAACTAATTTTTTTTAAAAAAAGAAACCTCTACGTAAACATTGATAGTTGACTGTTTTCACATACCTATTTAAGCTGACTGGGCTGTAATTATGGTTATCGCGAGGTAATTGGTCAGTTAGTGAAGTGATAATTACTGTTTAATACCCTATCGGTACCATCCCCGACTGCATGTCCTGTAATCCTTTAATGATATTAAATAAATCACCATTGGGCACTGTGAATTTAATTGACATGTCTATCTTTTGCAGTTATCTAATGAATTATAATATTATATAGACATTGTAAATTAAGTGAAAGTTAATAATTCGTTGAATTTAGTTTTGTTTATGGTGACGATGCAGAAAATATTGGAAAATTATCCATGTCTGATTTCTCAGGCATGTTTCATGGGCTATCTTCTTTTTCCTTGTATGTTGACATTGAAATAGAATATATGTATATATGTTTCTCACTTCTAATGTCTTTTTTTTTTTTTTGACTTCTTGAAAAAAAATGTCAAGAAAATGTGTATATTGATGCGACTAACTGATAAATCGCTCGGAACGTCTTGCGGTTAACCGATTAGCAGTTTTGTATTCGATTGCCATCCCTATACTTTTTTGTGATGTCACTTGACTGTTGATCATGTGACAGACACATAATTCCCATCGGCTGTTGATCATGTGATGGACACATAATTCGCATCGACACAAGTGATTAACACAATTATCGCAAACTTTTTGTTTTCATAAATCTATTAACTGTATCCTACTATATATGAAAATTGCTGGGGAAAAGTCTAAATTTTACTTGTATAGCAAATATTTTGTAAGAACTATACCAAAATAGGTGAAAAAAAGCATACAATACTCTAGCAAGATTCAATTACTTCTCGTATAGTTGCACACAGAATATCTTCCACTTATCCTTATTCAGTTGTGCCAGTACAATATATACACGGTCTGTTGTCTTTGTGTTTCGTTGTCGTCGTCGTTGTCGTCGTTGTTGTAAACTTTTTGCAATTTCATCTTCTTCTTCAAAACCATTAGGATCATTCTAAATCCTAAGACAATTATGTTTAAATTACTCTTAAATTCTACAAAAAGATACAATATGAGTTAAACATGTACTCTCAAGCAATACTGAGTCACCTACCGCACCATGTATATCCTAACAACAGGGTGTATGCTTTTGAAGTGGTAAGAATGGGTTTGAGGTAGGTTTTAGGCGTCGTCTTTCTGCATGTTTTGGGAAGAAGGAGGGGTCAAGGAACTGGTCACCATAAACTAACTTATCATCAGTACGAAAATGCACTTCAGGATCTAAAGATGGTGCCGTTACTATCTTACCAAAATCAAATAAAATTGTAAAACGATAAACTTTAAATTAATAGGTGTACTATTTGCACTATATATAGATAATACCATCACACTGGACAGCTGAGCCGTTACTTGAAAGGGAATGGGTTTGTATCACTGGATGTCTTAAGAGAAATAGGCATCCAAATTCTGACGACAAAAATTGTCAACTCCCAGGAAATGGCCAGCTTAAGTTTGGGACGCTACAAAAATAATTGGCAGTACACCTGTACTAAAATCCTTGGTTTTTTGGTAATAAGAGAAACATAAGATTAATCTTTCTTGATAACAACAATATCTATTTAATCATAATGCGGTTTTCATTTAACAGGTATAATTGTAATTTTTTTGGTGGCATATACCGTACATGCTACAGCAAAATGGGGGTATATAATTGCTGTAGTAGATTAATCTCCACAGATAAATACAATTCAATAGGTGTCAAGTGAGGTGGGAGATAATTTTCGAACGTATTCTCGCCTGCAATTACAGTAGTAAAGCTACGAAGAAAATATGTGCGGATCTTGGATCTGTCTCGGTTTGAATATACGTGCCTGACAACTTTGTAAATTTTCTGTCAATATTAGGCAATAATCCCTTATATATAACCTATTGAAAAGGGTCACATGACAATATTAAACCAATGCAAATATTGTATGGCAACGTTCAAATAATCATGACAAAGCACTACGTCGTAAAAAATAGAAATCGTGTTTTACTGTCAAAGTTGTCGTACATGTACAATATACATGTAGATTATTTTTTTAAAAAATGGAATTTAGATGTGAGAAGACAAAATGACCATAAATATGGTCAACAAAGGATGTCGTTTTTGTAAGAAGTAAGTAAACAATTTATATCTGAAACTTGTACATTTTAAGGAAGTAAACTAAGTGATCAGCAGACATTATCGTGGATGGATAAAAAATATAGTGCAAGTTGTAGACACATGTAATCGGGAATAATAATTACTTAAATAAATAGCAGAAAACACAATAATAATTTTCATAATTAATTTTTGGTAATTATGCCCGTGCCCGTGATATAACAGGAATAGCAAATTAAGTGAAATACGAAACTTATCTACAAGATGGCAGACGCGGTATTAACAAGTTGCATGGCAGGAGATAATTCAAAGTGTCACAGCTAATCTAATTCATGGTTTGTAAGAAAAAGCAAACTCTCATATTTTTTTTTTTACAAATGTTGACACAACGTTTTGATACACTGGAAATTATATAACAACTAAAGTCCACCCACCTTATGTATTATTATTACACTGTACCTTATGTTCAAATTTAAGACATCTGACAGTTTCTTACTATAACTCTGTTAAAAATTAGAAAAAAAAATATATTGATTGATCTACAAGTATCGATGAAAGATCTTTGAGAAATGGGTTTTTGCAAATGATGTCTGAAGTTTCTTTTAAAGATGTGTCTTATTAATTACAGCCAACATGTACTTTAACGTACAGTGGAAGCGCCTCTGATGGTAATTACGCTATTGCAATACAGATAGAAGATTTCATAAACCCAGCCTCAACTTTGCCTCTTAGCAGTGTTCCATTACAATTTATCGTAAACGTGAATTCAACTGGCTCGTGTTCTAACCAGCCAACTTTTATATCCCCAACTCCCGCAGAAGGGTCAACAATGCAAGTTTATAATGGCTCACTGGAGTTAAAAGCACGGGTTAGGCCTTCAAATGTTAGTGAATGGTACGTCAGATATGATGTTTGATTAAGAGGAATCTTTTTTAAAGTTCTTTGTTATGCTATATTTCCCCCTTTTTTGGCCTCTTTACTTGATAACTTGTTTATTTTGCTTTTGATTTACCAATATTTTGTCTGTTCTTATTATTTATTAGAATTTATTTGATTGTTTTTGATAAACTTTGTTTTAATTTTGGTAAAAAAAAAAAGCATCGATGAATAATCACTTGAATCTGTATTCATCTTTTTTTTTTCTTTTTTTTAATGAAATTATCAAAACAGTCATTTTCAGGAAAGTTGTTAACACAAAGATCATACTTTATATTATAGGATCACCAAATTTCATATTCTGTCACCACTCAATCTTGTCATGTCTGCTATTTCACAACCAGTGTCTAATGAGTATGAAGTAACGATATCATGGACGGCAACTCATCCCGTAGATAAGATTGGAGAGTATATCTCGTGTTTCTCAGCGGAAACAAACAATAGGTAAGACAATATACATGTAAGAGCATCAATTTTGAAAATAATAAAATGATGATCAGTTTTCACTTTTATTTAATTTGTTGCATTTTGATATGTCCCTTTTTGATAATTTTTACTTGTGAGTACAACTTGCTTTACATGTACAGACGTATTACTGGGTTATTTTTTTACAAGTTGAATTTTGCAATTCAATTGAATTTGCATCGTAAATACCTTAACAAACTATGAATACCAAATAAACACTAAAGGGATAGCGTGGGAAGATTCACAAACTAATATTTCGAAATAATTACTTTATACAACAAATATGTAATGTTTGAACAGAACATTATGTTAAAGCTACATGAAGATACATCGCATTTTGGTACAAGTACAATAAACAAAAAAGAATAAAAACAAAATAACATCCATGCACTACTACCAGTATGATATAAAGTACATTATAATTATTGTAAACAGATACTAAACACCAAGGACACAAATATATGATTTTGATTTTAAAAGAGGTCTGAAAATCAAGCCCGCAATCTGGATTCTTTTTTTTTTTTTTTTTTTTTTTTTTACTAAATATGCTTCCTGCACTTTATAACGTTTGAAAGCATCTTTCGGTAAGAATTAAGTAGCTTGAACGGTCTTATGAATCCTTGAAATCCGTTAAAGTTACACAAAATATTCAAGTATTAGAAGAAAACTCATTTTATATTTTAAAAAATGTTTTGAATTTTTGGTTGTCTTATCATATGGTAAAGGATAAACAGTGGTTATAGCGTCTGCTCTAGAGTCGCAGGGTAAGGAGTTGATCCTTACGTCGCGGGCTCGAATCCCACATCAGGGCTTGGAGACTGGTCCTTCGGATGAGACCGTATAATCCGAGGTCCCGTGTCGCAGTAGGTGCTGGCACGAAAAAGATCCCTCACTGCTCAATGGCTCTGAGTGCCGAGTATAGGTAAAAAAAAATTGCATCTCTCCACCGGAAAGTGCATAACTCCAGAAGAGTGAAAAATTCTCGAGAGGGACGTTAAACAACAAATAAACAAACAAACAAACAAACATAACAATCCGCATTATAATTTGCGAACACTTATATTGCGAAAGATTTATTTTCTTACGTTTTATTCAATTAAAGAAGTCCGTTCAAGCAAATGAATACAATTCTCATTTTAATCCCAGATTTTAATAAATGCTCCAAATTTATCAACCTTATAACAAGTATTTCTATTGTTAACTAATTCTATTTATGCTTGCAGACTTTCGTCCGGTTCAAGATGTATTACAGTTAATTATACAGGTAGGCAAAATGTACATCTTTCACGTACCTTTTTACTATTTATTTGACAATGTGATTATGTTTTGTCTTTAAGATAGATGTATGATATATTTGCAATTGACATGCAAATCTTCGTAATTGTAACCTCACCTTATTTGAAAAAATATAATTTACGCAGCTTTATAAAACGGTTTTGAATAGTGTTTGTGAAAAAAATGGTATCATGTAAAGGTGTACACACTGAGTTTCTCTAGTTCATTTTCAGATTCAGGGTACCTCAATACCATATTTCTTTAGGAAATATATGCACAGAAAATAAAGAAAATTCCACTGTTGTTTACTTAATAATGGGAAAATACATACAAATACTTTAATTTGATTTATTATAATGTTAAGAAAGCTTACATCTCTTTCAAATTGTGTTATTTATTGTTTTAAATTGCATTCAGTTCAAGCTTCAACATAAACCACAAGACTATTGCAAATATATTTTAAGCTAATGCTCTTGCGGTGTTCTTCTGTGCATACGGGCAAACATTGTCCAAACGATTTATACTTTTTCTTATTAACTTTATAATTTTGTTTTCATAATCGTCTTTTTTCAAACCCTTTGGGTAAGTTGTAAGTGTTATAATGACTTGTTTCTTTAAAATTAGAAATATAGTATTCCAAAAATAATAATGACTTACATTATACATGTATATAGGCAGGACAGTGCCCTTCTTGGTTTATATGTAATAGTCACTTAACCAATTCGTAAATATTTGAGTATCTAAAAGTAGCGATCAATATTTGTTCTTCTCTGTTCGAATTTATTTTTTAGTATCTATTGAATTAATGTGTTAAAACTATATCCCTCTGGTATAGAAAAAATGATAATATAATTTTCAGAACAGCAAAAAAATATTTTTAAAATCAATAAAGCATCGCATTACATTTTTGGAATCAAGGCTCCCGGAGCTTTTGTCATACTGAACCAGTGTTTCAAGTTTAGAATTGTGAGAGTATGGTTGTATCCTGAGAAAATATAGTTGTAACCTGATAGGGTATAGTTGTAGCTGATAGGATATGGTGGTAACCTAATAGGGCATGGTGTAAGCCTGATAGGGCATGGTGGTTACCAGAGAGGGTATGGTGGTAACCTAATAGTGTATGGTGGTAGCCTGATAGGGTATGGTGGTAACCTAATAGGGTGTGGTTGTAGCCTGATAGGGTATGGTGGTAACCGGAGAGGTATGGTGGTCACTTGATAGGGTATGGTGGTAACCAGGGTATGGTGGTAACGGGAGATGGTATCGTGGTAATGTACTTTATATCACATATCCATATTCTTATTTGCATTATACTGGTCCTTGAGGATTCCATTAACCGAGTTCAGGTTAAACTCATGAAGAAATATCCTGTTATAATAAGCATGTGACATATACAATATGTATATCTTCATTTAAGCACAATACATTTTATTTTAACTATTCTTTTTTTAGGTTTTGATGAATGTACCAATGAACCTTGCAGGAACAATGGAACATGTGTGGACCTCATCAATGATTATGAATGTCTTTGTATTCCTGGATTTAATGGCACCAACTGCACAAATAGTAATTATATACGAACGCTAGTAGCATCATTTTGAAATTGTACATTCACATTGATTTAAATTGCCCTTAACTGCTTTATAATGTGATTTTATTTACCATGCAATTATCAAAAAAAATATTTCACATTATTTCTGCAAATAAGTAAGTGATTTATCGTTTTAAGTATTAATGAATGAGTGGATGAACCTTGTAATAACAATGGAACATGTGTAGATTTGATAAACAACAAAAATGTCAATGTGTTCCTGGATTCAATGGAACAAATTGCAAGGAGAGTAAGTAAATGAAATGTATTACGGCAAAAGAACTTTTTCAAATGTCACGTACATTTTACACTATCATTTGTTATAGATATTGATGAATGTGCTGAAAATCCATGTCAGAACAATGGAACATGTGTAGACTTCATCAATGATTACCAATGTAACTGTGTTGCAGGATTTAATGACACAAACTGTACAAACAGTAAGTGTATTAAAAACAGAACACATTATTTTCTTGTGAGAGGAAAGATTTTATGTTTCAGCAATATATTTTTTAAAGATACCATATAAGCAGAAATATTATCAAGGATTCAATTTTGGCATTTTTGGCGAGAATTTGAGATCGCTAAAATTGACTTTCGCTAGCAATTCCGTCCGCATTGAAAGTTTCCATTAGATATCATGAAATCGCTAAAGTTATTTCTCGCTAAAATCATGAGTTTTCAGAGCACATCGCAAAATTTGTGTTTCGCTAAAAATGCCACTTATGTGGTATTAACAAATCTTTTTATGAACCTTGTGAAAACAAGGGAACTTGTATGGACCTCATCAACGATTTCCAATGTTTTTTGTATCCCTAGATTTAATGGATCCAGCTGCATAAATTATTATTTTATAGGAATATTAGATCAGTCATATTAAAAGAGTACTGCTGTAGAAGATTTTTCATGTAATGCGTATTTATGAAAATTCTGAGGTCGAAAAAAATTGTCACATTTTGTAGACGTGTAGGAAAAGCCATTTGCTAATAAATGACCATTTTCGATTCTAATATGTGTTTGAGTTTAATAAGTTGAAAATCAAACGGAGCAGAATCATTCAGAGGAAAAGAGTTGACAAAAATATATTTTATGCAGTTACTGGCGAATGAGCAGAGTGAATTCTATTGTCTATTTTAATTAATCAAGAGTAAAATTATCCAAACCGTTGCCAAATGTTGATATACATTGTATCTATCCTCACTATTTATTGAAAGCATATTAATTCTTCTAAAAATACTTTAAATGAAAAATTATCAGGATGCACATATTTCTCTCTATTAACCAGAATACTGCGTTACTTGCACATATGCATTCCTTTCTTTTGGAAATTTACTATGCACCAAATTAAGCTCAAAGCTCAGACGCATCAGATACGTATGTGCTTGATCCAATATGGAGTGACTCTTGTCACCTGAATTTAATAAAACAAATCTTCATCAAATAACTTGGTATAATTACTACAAAAAATGTCTGTAAATATACACATTGAAAAGTTGGGAAAAAAATAGTTTGTTTTTTTTTTTTTTGACCGGAGGTAAGAACTTTATTGAATGTAATACAATCAAAACAAAATGGTTCGAATAACTATTTATGGCGTTTATGAAACATAATTTTTGGAAAAGATTTCCTGGCTTTGTCTAAAACAAGCTATAGGACATAGGCACATCTACATTATATTTCCTTTGATCAAAAAACCGACGAATACCTCAAGTGATACTATATGTATATAAAAGCCATTTATATCATGCAATTATCAAGCAAAAACATTTCATATCAATTATGATTATGAGTAGCTGATTTTCTTTTTTGTAGATATCAACGAATGTGTGGACGATCCTTGTCAAAACAATGGAACATGTGTAGACCTCATAAACAACTACGAATGTCAGTGTGTTCCTGGATTCAATGGATCCAACTGTGAGGAGAGTAAGTAAATTAATGATATATACTATGAAAAATGAAACTATTTCAAATTCAGATACATCAACACTTAACATCTATTACAGATATTGATGAATGTGCTGAAAATCCTTGCCAGAACAATGGAACATGTGTGGACCTCGTCAATGATTACGAATGTAGCTGTGTTCCTGGATTTAATGACACTAATTGTACAAACAGTAAGTGTATTAGACAGAGGACAATAAATTATGATTTCCTTTCAAGGAAAGATATAATGCTTATGATGCATGTAATGCATTTAAGAGGCCGTGTCAGTAACCATTGAGCTTTACATGGAAAGTCAAAAATTTTGAATTGGGCAAAAACCACCCTAAAACATTTGAACAACAACAAAAAACACATTTTAGACTAATTTAACAAATTTATTCATTATCATTGGTTTCCATGGCAACAAATGTGATTTGCATAGTAAATTCTCAATGAAACATTGTAAAATAATACAAATTTAGACATATTCAAGTGCAGAGGGGGAACAACTGGAAGGTCTAAATTTGTTTTTGATACAGAAATAATGAAAGATGCATAAGGAGAAAATATCTGTATGTCTGTAAGTATTTTATGAAATTTTGATATGGTTGCTATGGTAACCGAAAAATGACAAGGTTTTCATGATGGGAATATCTGTGGAAAATTAAGTTTTTCAAAAGTTGAATATTTAAAAACGCAACAACCCGAGATATTGTATGTCATATCAAGTTGAAGATATATCCCAATACTATGAAATAATAAAAAAAAAATTGGTAGTCGGATGTCCCAATTTTTTTTTTTCAGAAATCAAAATTCGCAATTTTTTCAAAACACTTTCAATGGATTTTCGCACGTTTTGGCAATTTTTTTTTTTAATATTACAACAGATATTTGACAGTTAGATACCAAATTTACAGAAACATAGTACTGTACGATAATCTCTACAAAATGTATGACTTTTTTACAAAACAATAGGAAAAGAAATCTCCATAGCAACGAAATTTATACCCTAGCAACCGACTTGACTGGGATCAGCAAAACATGAAACATGTACCCAGGAAAATAAAGCCTCTCAAGTGGAATATTTGGGTCATGGCATACTAATCAACTGTCAACCCTGTTGTACTTACCTATCATATAAGTAATAATAAGTATCATTGCTGTACAATGTCTCATACAATATAGTCAAAATGTGGACCAAATACGCGAAAACTTCACCATATATAACGAAAACCGAAATTATATGTCAAAATGAGGCAACAACCCAAAGGGACTCCAAAGCTCTATCTACTGGCTAATTTTCATTGCTATACCATGTTTGTTATTCGTTATGAACCTAAAAACAACGAGAGGTAGTGTCGGTGAAACACAAGACGACCTTATACTCATTCACATGAACATAAACCTAAACATCAGCAAGGCTCCCTTGTGAAAATGTAGCTTAAAGCATCTTTATATTAAAGTTTATCTTGTTTTACTATCAAAGATCAATCAACTGGTCAAATATCAATGCTCACTAAAAGTATCAAAGATATGAACGTAAAAAAGAGTGTTCCATCGAATATGTGTGTCTCCTGCGGATGACTTATTTCAAAGTGTGACAGACAGATGGACTGATGGACAGACGGTCAGACTGACAGACGATGGAGAAGTGATCCCTAAGTGTCCCCTTGCTATGCAGGCGACACAACTAGGCACCACTATAGCATATCTGGTATCTGATTCTGAGACTAAATGTTTTCTGAAGTGTACAGTCAAATATTTTACAGAGATATTTTGCTAGAAATAATTATAAATGTTCTTCAGTGTACATTTATGCACAGTAAACAAGAAGTATGACACATTCGATTTCAGATACTATCTATGTTAGTCTAAGTTTAAGCAAATTCTTTCATAACCATTTCTTTCTTTATCATGTTTATCCAACCAACTAGAGCTAGAGCAGTACTAACAGGACAAATGCCCCCCCCCCTTATGGGGCAACATCACTCACTATCAACAGTACTATACGATGAATTTAATCAGTTACTCAAGCATAAAATGAAGGTCACATGCAGCATCCGCCACATTCATTTTACACAGCAGTCATAGACAAACCATGCAAGCAAGTTTGGTTTATATACCACTTGTAATAATGTGGGAACAGACATAAAAGCTGTACTTTACCAAAGTCACTAAAGCATAAAATGTAGGTCACTTGCAGCATCCGAAGCATTCAATGGACACACCATCCACAGACAAACCATCCATACAAGGTTGGTTTGTATACCACTTGTCATAAGCAGGAACAGACCTAAACACTGATTCGCTGAACGTATCCAAGTGTTGTCCACAGACAGATAGACAGATGGACAAGCAAACAGGGTGATTCCTATATCCCTCTTCCAAAAAATTTGATATTAAAATCTTTATTTTAGTTAGAAAATGTATTGTAGTTCACTGCTTTAAGAGCCACATCAGAAATCTGATTCAAATTGTTCATGTTCCCTTCAGCTGTCAAGTCATTTTCTTCATAGTCAGTGTTAGACATCTGCCTTTTCTTTAACGAAAGTCTGCTAAAAAAACTTGCAATTTGAGATGCTGAGAGAAAATCTCCATAGTGGAAAATTCGTTCACCATTGTCATTTTTTACACTCCTCATCTCTCGTGCCACTTCTTCAGGTTCACATTTGAATCCTGTTGATTCACCTTGGTTGAATTTCTTGGTCATAAAGGATTTTTGAGTTTCAGTAAATCTTTTGACTTCTCTCTTTTTTTTAAGAGCCCATCCTCTCTCCAAAGTGCTCACACCTGAAGAAGCATCTTTTGATCCATTCAAATTTGGACCAGTAAGTCTATTTTCAATTAGGATAGCATATGAAAATCTTGAGCGATCCTGCAAGTCCATTCTCTCAACTGAAAAAGTGTGGTTTCCTGTATCTAAGTGGTTACACAAATGGCCGTATCTTAAAAATGTAGATATGCATCCATCCTCTGGACAGGTGAATACATTGCTGCAGTCATCTGCACACGACGATTCCACCATTTCTTGGTTGCTGACATCTATACATGAAGATGCTGTTGCATCTTGTTCTTGACATGTGGGTGATGAAGAATCTACGTTTGTCTGTGTTTCCATGGGTGAAGATGTTAATGTGACCTCAGATACAGACTTAGGAGTAATTTCAGGGATTACCCAATTTAAATTAATTCCTGCAGTGTCATAATTTATTGTTTTGCCTTTTCCGATCTCATACTGCTTCCAAGCAGTGAAATTTCTGTTGTCATAACTGAAATCAAAAAGCTGACTGATGTTTTGTAATTTCAGCAACACTTTTGGTGGTTTGGAAATTGGTGGCAAAGACACAACTTGAACATTGTTCATCTTATTTTCAAGAGCAGCCTTGAAGTCACTGGCATTCAAGACATTATTTCCTTCATTCACAAATCTTTTTATGTACCATTTTATATGAGCAGCTTTTCGATCACAAATTGATTTACCGCCTTGTGGGTCACAGAAATCCATTCGTTTTATATTCATATCATTTCTGTTCATTTGGTTAATGCAAGGAACAACTCCAATGCCATAAACTGAATGGTAACAGCCAGCATTGTCAGACCGTACATAAACATTCTGTATTGCTGCATTAAGATTCTTTATTCGACCCAGAGTATCTTGCAGAATGGCAGCTGATGTCATTGCATCCTGATTTGCAATATCAAAAACATGAACAAAGGTAGCTGATCTTAAGGCTTCCTCTTTCCATGACAGAACACTGATATGCCATGACAGCCCTCTTTTAGCAAACCATTTTGCTTGGGATTCTCTGAAATAAATGAGCAATACTAAGTTACAATGTATTTACATTACAGTCAAAGACACTGTAAGTTTGTCACTTGAAATGTTTCTCAAAATTTCATAAATTTCGCAAAATATTCTAACAAGAGACCCTAAAGTGCCAATGGGAACCCACACCCTTAGGTCCTGGGCAATAATCCTGAGAACAATGATGCAATTTTATTTTACAACTGCAGAGATACGGTCTGGACAAACAGATGACAGACAGACAGACAGACATGGTAATTTCAATGTAACACCACCATCCCCAAACCTGTTTGTGGGGGAGGGGGGATAAAATGAAGCACTGTCTTACTTCTAGATTGAAAACAAATTTTGAGCTTCACTCCATGAAAACCTGATCACTTGCTTGACAATGAACGGAATAAACACGGATACATGTTTGAAGTGTGTTAGTTGTGAATAGAGAAGATTTTTCACACAAAACCTGGTCTATGAAGGGAAGAATATCATTCCAATTACAAACTCATTTCTGAGGATTCGCTTTATCATGTGGAACTAGAAGTTATTAGTTGGGACCATAAGAAGAAAGTGGGTATGAAAGTGGGACAATTTGTTAGAAATTATAAAGGGGTGAGGGTGCTCAGCTATATATATAAATATGTAAATATATATATATATATATATATATATATATATATATATATATATATATATATATATAAAGTATGAGCATGTGTGGAGTAGAGGAAAGCGGGGGTGGGGGGGAGTCTCACGTATTCAAAATGATAAGTGTTAGGGACATTTGGTGATGGGGGTGGCAGCTCAGCTATGGAGGCAAGGACAGTGTTCATATGAAGTCTGAAATCTATTGGATCAAAACTGTAACCTGTATCCTGCTTATAATGTATTTTCATGCAAACACATACACACAGAGAGACAAATCCAAGTACCCATGAACGCTGGCATTACAATATCCCCCTGCAACCTTGTTGTGAGGGGATAGTGACCTATGAATTACAAGAGAAAAATTACGTGAAGGTATATAATCAGCCTAAAAGTATTGCAAAACCCTGAGAAAATACCTGTATTGTACGGGAAGGAACTTCATAGCCCAATCTCTTTCTAGAAGTGCTTCATCCGACTTCATATTTTCCAAAATATTCGTTCTTGCTCTGTCTTGGTTTACTGTGTGAATAATGTGCATTTTCCATTCTTTTATCAACTTCACACTCTGCAAGTAGATAAGTGTATCACATTAAGTTCTGATTTTGTTACATGTAACATACATCTCCCTTATATAAATTAGGTTATCTAAAATTCAGTAGCAATGTAAATAGAGGTAATGAATATCTAACACTGGATGTTCTTAGGTGTTTGATTCTGGATGGATGTGCAAATTTTCCAGGAATA